TTCTAAAGCCTCTGCGCTTTGTGTCTCATCACCTTCTTCTCACTGCTTCCGCTCACTCATCCAGCATTGAGGGAGGGCTTTCCCGCTCTGGGCTAGGCATTGGCGCCCTAAAACTTAAGATCTCGTGACTCTCTGTTCTTAGCTACTAGAGGTATGTAAAACCCCAAAGGCTCTAATATATTAATTGGTTTTATTTAAAAATTCTTTGTATAGAATGTACTTAGAGTCTACCTGAAGTAATCTTCAAAGGATCGAAGTGCTCCTTTGAGAACTCTGTCATTTTAAGTGAGTAAAAGTTTACTCTTTAACAACTTCATTCAACAGGCAGATCTTTTCCTTGAAAAATGTGGATGTCCTCGATAAACCCTAATTGCATATATGTAGCATAAATATTGTTTTTTTATTGGATTTGTTGCAGAAGTAAGGGCTTCTTTTGTTTAAATGGACTTGCTTTTGAACTGTGAAAATTTAATCGTGATAGTTTATCGGTTCAGCTCTGGAGAAGCTAAGGTAAAGCTATTTTGCTTCAGCCAGAGCTATTTATATACCATCACTGAGAGCTCCTTTTCATATTATCGGTGTTATTGCGTACTAAAAAAAGGAGTGTTAAAAGAAAACTTAGGATTTTTTTTTTCCTGTGCCCTTATTCACCACAATGATATTTTTAGAGGTTATTTCATCTAGTATATCTCTTCAGAAAGGGCTTTATCTTTTCACAGCAGAGGCAGACAAGAACTCAGCTTGAAGCCATTCCTTCTCAAGTCTTCTTTTTTGAAGGGTGAAAGGATCAGAGAGAGTGGAACTGTGTGTGTGAATTGAACCTCTGCCCTTAGCCCCTTGCCGAGCCACACATTTTCACCAGGGGAGAAATGGCCATAAATTTAACTGAAGAGGCCTTTAAGAAAAGGGGTTAAAATTTAAGACACTATTTCTAGGAGTTTCTCTCAGCAGAAAGAAAGATCAGTCTTAGAAGTTTCTCCTGACTTCTGTTTGCTTCCAGAGAACGCCATCATTCTGCTTAGCTTTCCTTTAAAAGAGCACTTTGCTGAACAGGGCAAGCAGATAATCATTCACTGTTGCAAATACCTGCTGAATTGGCCGAGTATGGAAGAGGAATGACAGCAGATGGCTGCTCCAGTGGCTAGCATTTGTTAGCTGAGGCTCTGGAAGACAAGCTAACTTCTAGAAGAACATCAGACATACAGCTGCAAACACTGTCCTGTAACAAAGCTAAGTTTGGAAACAGGAGTAGATTTCGCCCTGAAAGTGGAGTTGTTGATGTCAACAGAAGCATCTCATTTTGGGCCTGGCTGTGGGGTCTTGACAGAAGAGTGTGTGGAAGCTGCACTTCAGCCTGAGCTGCACAGCCGGCCGAGAATGCCCAGGTTCTTTCGGAAGGCCGCAGGCCCAACCGTGTGCTGCATTTAGTACTGGTATCCACACCTACGGACCTCGGTGTGCATGGATCTGTACCCATAGGCTCTTGTCCATCTGCCCTTCCATGGTATTGTGAACATGTTAGACCACTTGTTAGGTTTCCCTTCTGATTTATTACCAACCCTATAAGACATCCTATAATAATTTGCGAAATTCTCTTTTCGTCTGCTCTTGTAACATGAAACAGTATGTTTCAGAAAACATGATTACTTAGGACATTTTCCCTTAAAATTTTGTGAATTATGCACATTTGGGGGCTATGGGGAGGGATAGGCTAAATGTTGGGCTTCACGACTGCAAATCAATTTACAAAAGGCCATGTGAGAGATAATGCTTAATATAATTCAACTTCCCGTCCATTAACATCCTGAACTATGGTGTAAAGTTTTGTATTTTTATTCTAGAAATATAGCTGACATTAGCATTCAGGTATGCAGTTCAGTTTATCTCTAGTGAAGAGTCTTTTAAAATTAAGTTAAATATAGCACAAAAGACATAGAAAATCAATAATATTTCATTTCTTTTAAGTAAGATCTTTCTATATACATTTGCTTTGGGTGCTTATAAATTTCTCCCTTTACAGAAGTATTTTATAATAAATGTCAGTTATAGATTTAACTGTGGCAAAAAAAAAATAGTTCAGGTTTTGTAGTGCCTTTAATATATCAGGAAAAAACTGCTTAGCTAAGTAGTAGTGTAGGAAATAGTGGTACGATCTCCTAAATGATATTTTAAAAATGTAGTGATATTAATGGGAGAGCATTTAGGACCTTAAGCTGTCAAATATTATAGGATTCAGTATCTTGTGCATTAAGGTATTTAAGCTTCTTTGCTTATTGGATTACCTCTCATTACCCTTTACACAGAGTATTTGTAGATGGATGTGAACTTGACTCACAAATATTTTCTTTTTTGTCTAATTACTCCCATACTAGTGATAGGTAAGATTTATTTTACCTTAGCATTGTGTCTGTAGTCTTAAGATGTTAGCTGCAGTTAAAACTGAATTCTAGTAGCGTTAGGAAGTGATTGCTAGAACCAGTTAAAACTGATTTGTTAAAGTATTAGAAATGGAATATTAGGAAAATCTCAATTTTTTTAATAGCCATGTCTGCCTCAGTAAGTTTAAAAACAGCCTCTAGGGGTGTTACTAAGGAAACATTTCCTCTTTTTTTTGGAAATAGCTAACTACAAATTAAGTACATATTAATTACTCATCAGGCTTCTCTTAGCTTATGTGTGACCACAGTGTGATTACTGTGGCAGCCATACTAGGTAGAATAGTATTTTAGATTTGTCCTCATCGCTGAAATAAGTATTTTGCTGTTACTGTTCGGGTAGAAAATGTAGGAGTCTATAAAAGGCATTTCCTGTCTATCAGATTTGTTTCTGCTTATGAGAATTTGAATTTGAAACTTAGAGAGATGCAGATTAAGACTTTGGTGTGTAACATAGTTGATGAAAAATCAGCAGTTTGTATCTAAATTAAAATATGTCACTGCTTTTTTTTTCTTTTTTAAACAATACAGAGCATTTAAATTAGTGATCTAATTCCTTTGTAGTTGTTGAAAATATAAAATGAAACCCAGAAGTTCTACTGTTCATTAACATTGGTATAGTACTAAAAGATTACGAATTACTCCAGTTGCCTGAAAAACTCTTGATTTATGCATTCCATTTGATTATCTTACTGCTGCACCTTCTGAAGTGAATGTCAGAATAGTAGTTTAAGAGGGAAGGCCTTTCTATATGTCTAAGAAAAGATGCCCTAAACAGCTTTTTACAATTTGCAAGTGGTGATAACAGTTGCCTCCTTAAATATTTCTCGGCACTTTTTTTTATTAAAAAAGAAAGGCTTACTACGTCTTATAGTAACATTTCCTCTTAGCTTCATTAGGTATGACAAGTATGGATGTTAACTTTTTCATTTAAAAAAATCAGCTTATTTTAGTGATCTAAGTTTTCCCAATCCTGACTTGCTGAGAGTATTGATATTACAAAATAGTCTAAAATTTTAAGAATGACTATTTAAATTTTTTTCAGGTCAGAGTATAAAATATACCATGTTGACAAGGGTAAAAATGTTTGTGGTCTTAAGTAGACTCATTAATAATTGACAAACTTGGTACAACTTTTCCTCTTCTTAATCTTTACTTAACAAAAGATGGATTTAGTAGGATCAGACTATCTAACTTTTACCTTAGAAAAAATTGAAGCAGTTTTTGTGGCCTTTGAAGTAGAAATATCATTTCCTGCTGTCTCTTTTTGGGTCAAGCTCTGTTGGTCATTGGCTCTTTGGTGTATCTCTAGAGTTTTATGTGTTTTGACTATAACTTGGAGGAAGTGAGTGCAAATGGGCTTCTTCAGGAAAGACTTATTTGGGCATATTTTTATATTAACACTTTATAAAGAGCTTACTTTCTAGAAGAAAGTATAATTTTCAGTCAAACAGTTGACAATTTAATATTTATTTACAATATTTTATTAAACTTTGTTGAACTACTTACATGTGTACATGAAATTTTATACTTCTAAAATATTTTTATTTTATTTTCTACTATTAGATATTATTTATTTTCCAGAGTATTAAGAATACAGTTTTTCATTTTTAGTTGCTATATTCTTTTGATTTGAGGGAATTGTTGATTTTGAGTTTGTGCAATTTAAAGAAAATGCATTTTAAAGTACTTTTTCCTAAGTTACTCACATACTAAAAGTCTGGCACAGTCTTCTTGGTGTTTGGAAAACAGTGAAGAACACCAAGTCCCTGCTTTCAAGTTTTCCCATTTGAGCAGGTAGTCACCGGGAGTATTCATTTAAGCAAGTCCATGAGGTATTTTCAGATTGTGATAGGTACAGTGGAAAACCCAGAATATGTAGTGGTTGGAGGGAGATGGGAGTACATTAATAGGGAAGTCATAAAGGGAGGTCCCATTCAGGGGAAGCAGGCATCAAGGTTCTGACCCCAGAAGGAGCTTGACACGTTCAGCAGTTGGAAAGGAGGCTGCTGTGGTGCTCTACTAAGTGGGGGAATGACTGTTACTCAGTTGGCTGTGTTGGCTGGCTAGTTCATTTGGGGCCTTCTAGGTAATACTTACAGAGAATGGAGTCAGTCATTGGGAAGGACATGATCTGATTTATGCTTTTCAAAGACTGCATAGGGCCTGTGCATGTAGAACAGATTAGAGGGGCTGGGAAGTTGGCAGAGAAATCATTTAGAATCTTTGCTGCGGTCCAGGAAACGGGTTGATGGCTGCTTGGATTCCAGTGGTTGCCCTGGAGGTTCTGAAAAGAGGATGAATTTGTGATAGATACATAATAGCCCCAAAGCAGGAAATATGCTGGTCCTTTGCCTTCTTTACCTAAATCCTGTGGTTTCTGATCATTGTGGCAGCTTCGAATCTCACTATATTGTGTCAAAGGAAGAATTGCTGGTAGGGCATGTAGATGAGTTAATTTACAGCACAGACATCATATCAAATAGATTTTGTTTTATTTAATCTGGCAAGTTGCAGTAAGCATTTATTTGATTTTTTTAAAAATGTACCATTTTGTTGTTGCAGGAAATGTTTTCATATTTGTCCAGCCAACTAGAGAAGCTGTCAGAATGCTACAATGAAAGACTGTTGTATACACCTCACAATCCCATATCTTTAGGTAATATATTTTTCTTAAGGAAAAAAAAAAAAATCATTGCTTCTTAACCCTCCCCAGCAGGGCGCTGGTATTTCTAGAAAGAGTATGAATTCTTTGTGGTTACAATGATATTTCTAAATTCATTACAGTATTAATTTGGAAATTGAAAAAGTTTAGCCTTTTGAAATGCTTTAATGTATTTCTGAGATAAAAAGTATACACTGAAAAGAATCCAAATTGATATTAAGTATTATAATGCATATGCAGAAAATGATACTTTAACTCCTGCTTCTAACCAAAATAATTTAGTCACTAGTAAGAACTCTAAAAATTTTAAAAAGTTTCTACCAGTTTACAAAAAACTATAATATTAGAAATTAAATCTGTGTTGTTTTTAATACTGTGATTGTTTTCCTGACTGTCTATGTTAGAGAACTCTGTATTCATGATAATTTCCTTTTATAAGGACTATATATTTTTGTCACATAGTACAAGGACTATGAAACAGGTTAATATGAATGTTGACTTTTATGCATTTAACTTTCAAGTTTCCTTATTATCCCTTTTGTGAATGACAGTTACCCAACTTCATATTTTATGTGTATCTAAGGAAAGTAAGGACTCAATCATTTGTAACTGAAGCCTATTTCAGGAATAGGCTTCCATGGAAAACCATTTGCCACTGATACATAATAAAACCCACCCTAGTTAGTCCTTGGCTGGTTTCTAATCTATGTAAATGTTGTAGAAGATGATAAGGTATGGTTTGAATCCCAGTTCTGCCATTTACTAACCTCTAACCTCCTTTCCCCTATCTATAAAATAGAGACAACGATCCTTCACAAACAAAATTGTTAAAGAATGGTTAAGGGGCACCTGGGTGGTTCCGTAGGTTAAGTATCTTGATTAGGCTCTTGATTTAGTACTCTTGATTTAGGCTCAGGTCATGATCTCAGGGTCATGATTGAGCCCCATGTTGGGCTCTGAGCTCAGCACAGAATCTGCTTGTCCCTCTCCCTCTGCTCCTGTCCCTACTGCTCTCCCTCCCTCTTTCTCAAATAAATTTTTAAAAATCTTTTTTAAAAAATGGTTGAGGTTATCAAGTATATAGTATACCATATCAGGAAATGGTAGCAAGCAGTAGTGGTGAGAATATAGTTTACTCACATAACATCAGAAAGATCATTCTCCTTTTCATATGCAGAAGTTGATTTTACTTAGTCTCACATATGTACTGAAAATTTCCCACATTCTCATCTTATATGTTCTTAAAACACGGTTGAATTTGAATAAACTGCCATATTGATCATGACAGTGTTCCATTTTCAATTGGCAAGTTCACTCTTTAGAAGGGTGATAGGGAAATTCTATTCTGATTCTTACTGTGTTAATTTGTATTAACATCTTTTTGTCTGATAGGTAAACAGATCCTTACTATCATTTATTTAGTGCATTAAAATGAAATCATGCCACTTGGCAATGAATAAAAAATAATGTCTCCATGCCAGTTACAAAAAAGTACATGATCCTTTTGTCAGAGGTACTTAGAGTAGTCAGAATCATAGAGACAGGAAACAGGATGGTGGTTGTGGGGGTGGGGATGGGCAGGAGGAGAATGAAGAGTTACTGTTGAGTAGGTGCAGTGTTTCAGTCTTACAAGATGAAAAGAACTATGGGCGTGGATGGTGGTGGTGTTTGCACAACAGTATGAATGTGTTTAATAGCACCGAGCTGTATGCCTAGAAATGGTTAAGATGGTAAGTTTTATGTTGTGTGTATTTTAACACACACACAAAAGTAGGGTCTCCTTCATTAAGTGTTGATTTTTGAGGGATTCTGTGCTGCTGAACCAAGGCGTATTGGGATCCTTTTTTCTTTTTCAGCTATGACACTTAAGACACTAAGCGAACACCGGGACAGATCTGTCACTCAGCTTGGCTCAATGCTTTTTACCAGACAGGTTTCTGGAGCCAGGTAGGTATGTGTGAAAGAGGCCTGGACTTATTTGCGTCTCCAAAAACCTAACTGTATTTTTCCTAAACAGTTGACCCCAAGTATATGCTGAGCTCCGTGTGAGTGTTCCTCATGGGTGAAGGAACGATGAGGCGGAGAGTGTGTAGGGCTATGGTAGCCCATGTGTGGAAGGCCTGCACTTGAAGCAGTCTCAGAAGGAGAGGGACCTTGTCTGTTTTCATGGACATCCAGAAACAAAGTTGCATCACCCCTCTGTACAGATTTTTATCGTTATTTTCCTTTGTTGGATCATCTTCAGTGGTGTCACATTTTGGTGCTAGAGATAAGTCATCTTCATTACTAAATTCAGATGAAAACATTTTTAAGGAAAAGCTCATTTCCTAAACCAAAAAGTTAGGCAATTCTTGTCTAAGTACTGCCTTTGAAAAATGGACTTTTTGCTCTTACATGTACATGTCTTAAAAATGCATTTCATTTTTCATTTTATATTTGATGAGGTCAGAGAAAAAGGACTTGGAAAGAACTATCTTGCTCTAAGTACTCTTCTTTACGTCCCTTTATTAAAGAATTTCTCTCTGACTACCAGAGATTAGAGATTTCACATCAAAGGACAACTTTTTAAAAGAAAAAAATCTTAGATTAATTCAGCTTTTACCTTGATGAATTATATCCATTCATGGCATAGTTTTGACGCTTCTAAAATGGTTTTCTTGGCCTTGCTTTTAGTGTTGCCACTATTTGTCTTTTTGTTTAGGATGATTTAATTGACTTATTTTTTTTTAAAGTACCGTTAGAAATCTGCTTATATCAAGTATGCCAATGAAATCAAGCTTACAGAATGCATGTGCCATCACCAAATATCCCTTTATGCTGACCACCACCCCCGTAAGCAGTCACAGAATTCTTTCTGGATCCTTGCATTAAAACCCTCCATTGCATAGCACGGATCAGATAGGTGGAATTTTGGTTTGTTGATTGTTGGAGGTGATACACAGCAATTCGTCAACGTGGTTTGACTTAGAAATTTCAGTATTCCATTTGAAGTATATATATGTGAAGTCAGATTCCATATTTAGTACAAAAACAGAAATAATTTTCTTTTTTTTTCTCTTTGAAGAAGGGGCAAAGGTATTTGTGATTCCTAGAAGTAATAGCTTTTAATGGAAGATAAGTCATTGGTCATCTCCAGGCAGCACTCTTCTACGGAGAATAGCCGTGTATTGTATAATTTTATCTTAAGGCTGCCACCGTCTATTTTCATAGGCCCTGATTTATGGCTGTTTTTAACTTCTTTATCAGTAGATCTAAGGCTTAGTAATACTGGTATCTGTTGTTTATGGGTAATATTCTGTTAACACCACCAGACATATTAAATTGCTAAATCTTCTCCCTTTCAGGGTTGTGCCTCTTGGGTCTGTGCAAGCCGTGAGTGGCCACACCTTCCGAGGCTTTATGGCACATACAAATAATTACCCTTGCGCTTACCTCAACGCTGCAGCAGCCGTTGGAATGAAGACACAGGATGTGGACTTGTTCGTGAAGAGACTTGACAAGTGTTTAAAGACAGTAAGAAAAGAACAAAATAAAGAGAGTAATGCATCTGCAGTTGAAAATTACAACAAAACTGAAGATGTAGATATTGAAGAAATGGCCTTAAAACTAGATAATGTGCTTCTTGACACGTCCCAGAATTCTTCATGACATGTGTAAGGTTTCTTTTTGACTATTTGAAAGAAGTGATGAGGCTACAGTACAAACAAAGCAGTTTAAAGATAGGGCTTGAGGTTTTGGAACTGAGAATGTCTTGGAGGATTTGGAGGATATTTGGTCGAGGTACAGACTGGGGTCTGAGCTAGCCATCTGATGACTTGCTATTTTTTTTATTCTTAGACTGCCTCAATTATTATGTTCCTTAACAGATAAAACTACCATTAGGATTTTTCTAATTGTTAGAATATTTGTCAATTAAGCGTTATGATTCAGATCATTCTTACTAGCGTGACAAGTAAAATTACTTCTAATTCTTTTTGAAATGTGTAAATTGTTTCTTCCTGACCATTCTCTACCATTCACAAATGACTTCTGTTTCTGGTCACAGAGAATTGAGAAAGATCCACTACTGCTATTTACAAGATGTTGGTGTCTGTAAGTCACATTCTGCCTGTGAAATGGTCATTCCCCAGGGAAGCAGAGTCCAGCGTAAGCTTTAGCTTTCACTTAGTGGTTCTCAGCCGGGGATGATTTGCTTATATCTAAGCAACACCTGGGGACATTTTTAGTGCTCACAACCTGTGGCGTGCTCTTGACATCTAGAGCTGGAGGCCAGGGGTCCTGCTGCTCAACATCCCACAGTGGATGAGTGGCTTTCTGGAACACAGCCCCAAATCTCAGAAATGCTGAGAAGGAGAAATACCACCATAACCCAACTCCTCAAGCAAAGTTTCCCACAGCAACTTTCCTTATTCAGTAGTGCTTCAAAGAAGAAAGCATTAAATGTTACCAAATTATATAGCGTTAGATTCTTAAGTGATAAGCTGGGCTGCCTGTTCTAAACCTGAGATTATATGGCATTTGTGCGTTTTTCCATTTGGGCCAGTGAAAGCTTTCTCCCACTGTTTCTGCTCTAAGCAGGCTTTGCATACTGGTTAGTTCAGGTGTTATGCACAGCCATTATCAAGAGTGGTTAACTTGGGTATTTGGGGATCTGTTTTTGCTAGGAAGGTGAAAATGATGTAGTAGGATGAACAGGTGTATTTGCCTCCTCCCCCCTCCCACACGCTCACTTTCTTAGTCTGATATTCCAGACTTACCGGCTGTAACAATTTTTGTTGTTTATGTTTTAAGAAATAGACTAATGCCTCCAAGCCTGAGGAATGAGCGAAGCTTTTGAATACGCCAAAATGCCAAAGCCATATTCCTCAAGACCTGCTCGCTGGAGCGGTGTTTCTATGAGATGCTCACAGGGATAAAGTATTCCATGGGCAGATCATTTTGGGCCTTCGTAAACCTGCCTATCAGCACATTAAAGGCTCTGAGAATTCCTTGGAAATTAACTTAAGTGTGCCCTTATCCAAATGTGGCACCCTTTTCTCAACTAAAAACTTACTGGCATCCCACTGAACATGCTTTCAAAAACACTGCAGTTGAGAATGCGGCCTTGGTTTCTGGGTTGTGTTTTTCTCTGTCACTTGCTGGTGTAAACTGTCTCACATACGAGCTCAGACAGATACCACCCCTGTCAGTGCGTAAGTTAAAATACTCTAACCCTAGCTTGACCTCCTTGGACGTCATAAAGTTTAATTATCAATATTGTAAAGGTTACTTTTAAGTTAATTATTGTATTTGGGGTTCTAATATTTTAGATATCTTTTTTTTTTTTTTTTAAATAGCTGTAACAACACACTCCGGAGGAGTCATACCTGGGTGAAAAGGTGGTGTGAGGTTTTTTATGTGGATTTGGGACCGAGCTGTAGAACCAATAAAGCGAAAGGGTCCCAACCATGCCTCTGGAGTCTGCAAGAGGGAATGGAGCCGTGTTGCAGATGCTAAGTGCTGCTGGCACAGCTTCCTGGATGCCCTGGGAGCCAGGGCGGGTTTCTAGAACAAGTGATCTATACCGTGTGAGCGTCATTTAGCTTGAGAAGGCCGGAGCCGAGAGACCAGCAAATGTTTTCTCATCTGCAGTGTATCAGCAGTTCTTGGGCTTCAGCTGCTGAATAGATAATAATTCTAATTGAAGATAAATTACATGAACCCACATGTGAATGATAGATGTGTTGTAACATTTCATTCCTGGTGCATAAAATCAGCTGCAGTTTTTATTATTAGTTCTTTCTTTTCAGAGGTTTTGGAGTAACAGCTCTGTTCCTGCTGGTTTAAATTTGACCTTGAGGTCCTGGAATTCACAAGAGTTTCTGAAGGGGTGCTGTAGGTTCTGCTGATTCGGGCTTGCCTTTGCTCCCACCCCAGTGTTGTTTTTGCTCACTCTCGCCCATTTCCACATGTAAGTGTAAAAAAAGTATGTATGTACAATTAAATTCACTTTAAGTTGCTAGTACTGATCGGTAAACCTCGTAATTGGCCTTCATTACCCTTGAACTGTGGTGGAGGGGCAATGGCTGATCCATTTTCCAGTCATGACTAAGATGACCTGTCCTCACGATCCAGCTGCCCCTAATAAGGCTCTCAGGTAGAGTTTTGGAGTTTGGTTTTTAAAGTCATTGGACTGTGGTAGTCTTCCCAGAAAAGAAAATGGAATAACACAAAATATTCTTTAGGTCACTACACAATGTGTTACTTCTACAGACAGCAGGGAAAGGTATTTTAAAATCCAGCTCTCAATTTGGCTCTTATGTCCTCTGTTGATGAATTCTCACTCTGTGAGGGAATGATACATGATACCAGCCTCAGGAGTTCAGTGTTCCACCATAAATCTTTCTAGTTAGCTTTTTGCATTAGTTGAGTGAAGTTATAGAATGTGAATTATTGAATACAGTTCTGTTCAGCAATAGGCCCTTGATATACAGAATGGTAAATTTAAATATAAATTAAGTTTTTTCTGGTTTTCTCCCCAGCACATAACTTTCCTGTGGTTCTGTTTCTGTAAGCACCCCATCATGACTGTCATCGAGCCCAAGCTATAGGCTGTGTTTTCATTTGTAGACAATATGTCTATGAGAGGCTTTAGTAAAAGTTAAATGAACTAAAAACTTTTTTTTTAACTAGTGATATTACTTTAATCTTGAATTAGTAGCTCATCATGAGAGTAAAATTCTGTGTTCTTTCAAAGAGGAGAATAGCTAACAGTTGAAAATAATTGAAGCAAACTGGTGAGTCTCATTCATGTAACGCTCAGAGAAAGGTTTTTGCAAACATACACATCGGGTGCACACAAGACTTGGGGTTTCTCCTCTCATTTCCTAAGATGTCCTAATTTCTCCCAAGCCCTTAAGTGATTTTGTTGTATTTTGCATTCATGAGGTTGACTTTATTTGGGAACAAAAATATAATCCGGTTTGTATACACAGAAGCCTGATCATCTCAGAAGTTAGGTACCTTCTAAATAAAAACTATGAATATTCTGTTAGCGGTTAAAAAACAATTCCCATCAGCAGCTTTTCCTTGTCTGTCCCATTGTGTTGATTCTCTGTCTCTTGTGGCCGCGCTTAGTGTACAGGTGTGAGACGTCCCCACCACATCCCTTTGTGCCTTTCGTCTTGTTTTCCTGTTCCTTCAGCCATATGGTGTGTACACAGATCAGCCGATGAGTGCAGGGCTAATGAATATATCTTTATAATCTCCTACGTACTATTTAGGTCAATCTAAGGCCTTAGGCAGAATCTGGAAGTGTTTATACTGTCCTGTTTTTAGTAAGCAGTGTCAACTTGAACTTCTAGAGAAATGTGAAGAAAAGCTACATTTCACTGTGTAATTGTGAGGGGACTCTACCTACTAGAATTGAAGCTGATGTCAGCCTGCTACCCTGTACGCTTTACCAAAGGAGAAAGATGTTTCAAAAAATATTTTCGGTGTAGACTTTAAAAATGAATTATATAATTTACAACATGAAATAAATTTTTAATAAATAATTGACAGTGCATTTCCTTAGTTTACCTAATCATGGCTGGAGATAAAATCTGAAAAGTACAGATAATGAACACCAGTAAATTACTTACTCATTTTTTGATTCAGTCATCAGTACCAATCAGCAAGAAAAGTCCTATTTATAATGCGAATCACAAGTCTCACGGGGTTGGGGGCTAGTTTGTTGTTGTTTAAAGAGGAAGGAGATGACATTACAGCAACCTTTTGCAAAAGATCTGTTGACTACAGAAAGTTAGATGCGTTTCATCTTTTCTAAAAGAAACACTTTATCTTTTATTTGAAAATAAAATGTGTTACTTCTTCAGATTTCATTTTTAAATTGTGCTGTTTGAATTTTGCAGGTAGTTCTCATTTGTTTTGGAGCTGGATCTCTGCATGGGTACTTATTAACCATGTGAGCTCACATATTTAACCTCTGAGTATTGGTCCCATCATATGTGAAATGGGTACAATCTTATAGGATTGAGAATTAAATAAGATGATAATATATGTAAAGATTTAACTCAGTGCCTGATATAGCACTTTCTGTTAATAACTGCTATGATGTGCTACATAAAGTTAATTTGTACTAGAGTTAAATTAAAATACATTCATTTTCTAGTTAATTTAGTAGAACTCTTTTTGAGGGGGGGGTCATCAATGGATTTTGTCCCTTCTCCAGTGGAAGTTAAAAAGTATGTGGTTGATTTTAGATGACCACTTTTTTTTTTTTTTTTAACTTTCAGAGTTTCTATTTTGGTTTCTATGAATTTCTTTTCTTTTTTTTTTTTTTTAAAGATTTTATTTATTTATTTGACAGAGAGAGATCACAAGCAGGCAGAGAGGCAGGTAGAGAGAGGAGGAAGCAGGTTCCCTGCTGAGCAGAGAGCCCGATGCGGGGCTCGATCCCAGGACCCTGAGATCATGACCTGAGCCGAAGGCAGCGGCTTAACCCACTGAGCCACCCAGGCGCCCCACTATGAATTTCTTTTTGTTTTCTGTTTACACTTGAGAATTATTTTCAAGAAACATATTTAAAATGCATTCACTATTTTATGGACTTGGATTCGGATCACTCAGGAGAACTCAGGAGAGATGGACAGAAACAGTTCATGCCCTAGTGACTTCCAAATTGGCTGTATTATGGACTAAAGTTTTTGGGATAGCCAGCAGACCCGCAAGCATAGCTAAGTTCATTATATTTAGCCCTATTCTTAGATGGCTTTCCACATTCAGCAGAATGACTAACACTCCCAAATTTACGTCTCTAGTAGACCTCTTCCCTCAACTCCACACTCAATGAAACTGCCTATTCATCTTTTAGATGTGCTAGACATTTATCTCCCTCATGCCAAGGGTGATTCCTTGATCTTTTCCCCCAGAAAACGTGTTCCACCCACAGCCTTCCCTTTCTCAGTTGAATAGTCTTCTGTTCTTTCAATTATTTAATCCGAAAACCTTGGAGAGATCCTCTGCTCCTCTCTTTCTCACAGTCTATGTCTTACCCATCAAGAAATCATATTGTGTCTACCTTTAAACAGTATCCAGAATCAAACCCCTCCTTACCTCCTCCTCTGCTCCCAGCCACATCTGAACTGTCTGTTCCTGGTCTGGACTATTGCAGTATCCCCCCCCCCCCCGGCCCCCCCCCCCCCCGCAAAGAACCTCCCTGCCTTCTATCCAGGCCCCTTTGCAGTCTATTGGGAATACAATATCCAGGGTGAACCTTTAAGACACTGATCCTATCGGTTGTCTGCTCGGACTCTGGTACTGCTACTGAGCAGACGCCAAAGTCCTGGCTGGCCCCAGGGTTCTGCAGCTTGTGGGATTTTTCTGACTTTTCTTCCCATGCTTTACCTTTGCCTCCTCCACTCCAGCCCACCTGGCTGCCTTGCTGTGCCTCAAACACTGCGGGCACACTCTGCCTCAGAGCCTTGATCCTGGATACCTCCAACCCCCCCCCCCCCGACCCGGGAACCCTCCGACCCAGATGCTTGGCTACACGCCTCCCCTGCTTCTTGTTTTTAATCAGAATTTTCCTTTTTGATGATGTCTACCCAGACAATCTCTTTTGTTTATTTTTATTTACTTTTTAAAAATATTTATTTGAGAGAGAGAGAGCATGTGCATGAGCAGTGGGGGAGGGGCAGAGGAAGAGGGAGAAGCAGACTCCCCACTCGGTGGGGAGCCCGACTTTGAGGCTCCATCCCAGGACCCTGAGATCATGACCTGAGCTACCAGCAGATGCCCCCAGACTATTCATTTTTAATACCGTGGTTACTCCCCTCCCTCCCTTAATAGTGTCTCTAAAAATGGTCTTAAAATTGAGAATGAAGCCTCAGTTTTACTGTGTGTAAGAATCTCCTTGGGTTCTCTTTAAAATGCAGATTTGGGGGGCGCCTGGGTGGCTCAGTGGGTTAAAGCCTCTGCCTTCGGCTCAGGTCATGATCCCGGGGTCCTGGGATCGAGCCCCATGTCGGGCTCTCTGCTCCGTGGGGAGCCTGCTTCCTCCTCTCTCTCTCTCTCTGCCTGCCTCTCTGCCTACTTGTGATCTCTGTCAAATAAATAAATAAAATCTTTAAAAAAAAAATGCAGATTTGGAATCAGTAGATCTGGGGCTAAGTCAGCATTGCTAGCAAACCCCGGGGGGATACTGATCTCACGAACCACACATGAGCATACATCCAGCGTACCATGTAATTTACATATTTATTGTGTCCTGTTGTTTGTCTCTGTCCATTCGGTTAGAACAGAACCTCCACTAG